GGTGTGGATGGGTTAAATGCAGAGCACAAATTTCGTCATTGTGTGGAAACATACACTGATGACATATAAAGCACCTTTAAATAAGAGTTTTAGCTCCGCTAATGCTAATCCACTAAATATGAATCTCAGCTCCGCTAACGCTAATCCACTAAATAAGAGTTTTAGCTCCGCTAATGCTAATCCACTAAATATGAATCTCAGCTCCGCTAACGCTAATCCACTAAATAAGAATTGTAGCTCCGCTAACGCTAATCCATTAAATAAGAGTTTTAGCTCCGCTAACACTAATTCACTAAATAAGAGTTTTAGCTCTGCTAATGCTAATCCACTAAATATGAATCTTAGCTCCGCTAACGCTAATCCACTAAATATGAATCTTAGCTCCGCTAACGCTAATCCACTAAATATGAATCTTAGCTCCGCTAACGCTAATCCACTAAATAAGAATCTTAGCTCTGCTAACCTTAAATTTGCAGAATCAAATTTAGCGGGAGCTAATCAGTATGCTAATGGTTTCCAAAGCTAACAAAAAAGGTCTAATTCGCTAAATGATAAGCTAGTTTTGCTATTAGCAGATTAGCAAAACTGTGCCCACCACTGAAAATCACCGACAAATTTCACCAGAACACAAACAGCTTCTAAAGTTAATAAATTAATTCTTAATAATAGTAATTATAAGTTAAATTTGTTTAACATGAAGCTACTTTTATCGACAGTATTAATGTTCTTTTTATCTGTTTATCTGTGTTAGTAAAATATCTCATGAACCACCACATGGATTTCATTAAAACATCCAGGAAACATTAATTAAATGTAGAAAAACAACTCAACGTTAAATAAAGACGACTCTGTTCAGAGGGAACAGGAAAGGCTTCAGTTTAGTCAGTTTTGTAGAAAAGGAGCTAAACTTCTCCATGTCTGTGATTTCTGCGAGTCATTCTTCCCTCCCGTGTCTTTCAGGTTATTTCTGGTGATCGAGTACGTGAATGGCGGAGACCTGATGTTCCACATGCAGCGGCAGAGGAAGCTCCCGGAGGAACACGCCAGGTAAACATCCAGATGTTCAGCATCTGCTTCCATCACGCTCCCAGCCCGCTGCTTTAACGATGCTGCATTTCCACATGTTACAACGTGTTTAATTCTGTTTTCCACATTAAAAAGTCATCAGTGCAGGTGCCGCGTGTTCTAACCAAACTGAACCGACTGAACTTCTGTTGGTTTTATAAAGGATTTTGTGCAGCAGCTTCGATCGAAGCAGTTTTTTTAAATTATTTTTTAACAAACAGATGCTTTAACATCTTTTTTATGGATGTAGCACCGCTGCCAACTTAACACTTCTTTGTTTTGTTTTAACATCTCTGGGAAATATAATGAGCACCCATAATTCATTGTGCCTTTGCGCTAGCGGGGCTCTCCAACCGCGGCTCTGATAAATGCCAGATCAAAGGCTCGGTAATTTAGAGGGGCACCGTCGGAGCCCCAATCGGCCCGAACAATCTGGATCCTGGAGACCGTGGCTCCTGACATGCAAATCAGCATGTTAATCACTCATAATGATTGTRCATATTCATGAGGAGAAAAGAGAAAGGCACCCACCACATGGGGAGGGGGGAGGCGGGCCAGTGGGCGACGGATGGCGATGCTGATGGGATTTGTCTGACGGCGGCGGTGGAACGACCTGTCGAACGGCGGAGATGCGGGGGAGCGACGTGGGATTTGTGATTCTTCAAACGTTGCTCAGCCAGACAGAACGAGGCTCAGAAAACACAACCTACACGAGGAGAGAGAACACAACCACTGACTCACCGCACAAACGCAGCGACTTCTTCTCACCGCCGTGGTTTAAAGGGCAGAGAGAGGCTGAGTCACAGAGCCGGACTGCAGGACTCCAAATCATCACATCAAGAGTCGGGCTTCGAGGAAACATCTACTGAGTCCCGGAACCATCTCAGATCCGGTCCGTACTGTCCCCCCCCTGCCCCCACCCTGCAGGATGGAGCTTTAAATAAACATCAGCCTGTGGGGGTGATGGGAATGACTCTCAGCTACTACCACTCCATGCTGTAGCTCAGGGTCTGTAAATCAGACTGACTTACAGAGATTTTTGTGTTTGTAAGGTGGATGATCTGTGGCGGCCATCTTGAATGTTAAACGTTTGATTTCAATTGGATAAATTAAATAGAAACTTAAAAGTATTAAAAGGTAGTAATGAACTGTTAAATATTTATAAATATTATAATTTTTTATCATTAGAA